GGAGTCGGCTTATTTATTATAAACGCTTTTGTGCGACGGTAGTCGCGTACGTCGATAAACTGCTCCAGCTCTACGTTTTTCCACTATTAGAGAGCGCATCTGTTTAGGAAGAAGAGTYTTCTTCTGCATTGAGTGCTTGGAGGTGGTCAAGATATTGTATAAGGAGGCAGCTGAATGGATAAGTTTGGATAAGTGATTGCTTCGTCAATATCGTGCTCGGTTTTTAACTTTGTTGAAAGATTAACTTTTTGGGCAATTATGTTATGGAATATATTATAACGATTGGTCGATTGTGAGAAAAGAGAGTGACTAACTGAATGTGTTTGAGGAGTTGCATCGTTATTTAGTATTACAGATGAGTGATCTGACTTTAAGTCTAAAATGAGCCCCAGCTTTGGTGCTTAGCATTAAAGTCACCACCAGCAATAAAGTTGTTAGGAAATGTGTCAAAGTATTCGGTGAGATTAGTGTCTGTTATAAGGTGCTTGAGAGGACTGTAAACTGCTGTAATAACAATAGGAACATTATTAAGTGTGAGGGAAGTTAGGAAATAAATATCCAACWCATCAATATAAAATCGAAGAAATAAAAATAAGATGATATTATATTGTATATTATACTATCACAAAACACGTTTATATAAAGGTATGTGGCAAATGCAGATAATGTTTATATAAGTAGATCTCAAACATTTTTCTAATCACTTTTATTTTAGGAATATAAAATAATTCATTATTTAATTTGCGTTTCTAAAGTTTTCTATATTAGACGGATCTTTATTTATCTTGGTGTTAAACATTTTTYTTTCAAAATATTTTTATTAAATAGTATACATTTATATAAATATTTTCTAATTCGCATATCTGTGTGACATGCATTATTAATCAACAATTATACAACAATAAGAACTGAATCTATACAATTTGTTCTTTTTTTTTTCATATAATGCATAACATATAAATAAATTATTATTTATTATTTATGTTTTAAATGCGTAAAAATTGACGTAACTAAACACATAATTAAGTAATTACTAAACATTTTTGAGCAAACTGAATGTGAACTAGATGTTTGGACGGGTTCTCTGGTTCGTGTACTCTTTGTCACACTCAATATGACTGTAGCTTCTACTAATGTTTTACCGGAACCGACGATCAAATTGTACTCTCCACTGTGCACTGGTGTTACCGATTGTATCGTGAGAGTAGCTACTTGGCAGTAAGAAGATGTTGATGACTAAAACATGCAATAATATCCATAGGTAATATTTAATTAATTGTCATAGATCATAATAGGTAATACAATCTCAGTATTCTAGCTATCTTCTAGCTATCCTTTTTTCGTTATTGATGCAAAAAAATATTTTTTTACTTCCAAAATAGAAATTGTAGGTACATTCATTTTTTTTATCGTTTGATAGTAAATTTATGTCTTTAAATCAATTTACCATATAGGTAATATTAACATAACATTAACTCATCCCCAAATTTGTTTATGATATTATATATATATTTTTATTAATCAAACAGTCCTATGATTCCAAAATAGTCAGACTACCGAAGCGGTGCAATTGAATTGGCTCCCCAATACAGGTAGTCAATATTTTACCCTTACTAAGTACCTCTGAATTGGCTCCCTACCGTTTTTTTCAAAAATGTATTGGTTGCCMAAATGTTAATCATTTAAAGTAGGTATAATATGTAATTCGTATATTGTACATCGTTACACAAAATTAAATTTAAAAATTTAAAAAAACATACAATATGTTACCGAAGTACATCATTATAAAATTTATACATACAAATTAATAATTTAAATAAAAATATTATATTAGACTATTTTTTGGGGGTCTTTACTTATTGGCCAATATTTTTATATATTGAAACTCGAACTTACACCAGTATCACATTTACTAATTTCATTTTCTAAAAATTTAATTTAATTTCTTATTTCTTATTTCTTTAATGTGTGGTTTTGTTGTATTGGAACTCCTTATAATAATTTTTGTATCAAATTGAATATTATATAATGTATTTAGAAAGTTAAATATATTTGGATTTTACGTTGTAAAAGTAAACGCCTATAATATGAGAACCCCTGGTTAAAAAAAAATATTTAACAACTTAAGGAGCCAACTCAAGGTTCGAATTTATATCTACCCAAAATTGGGAGCCAATTCAATGGTAGCCTACCGAAGTTGTCTTATACATAAAAATTAATACCATACTGAATTCGTGGAAAATAGGTATAATGAAACACAGTAACTATCGTTTGAATAAGATGACGATTATAATAATGTATACCATTTTATAATATTGTAGCGTGTCATTTTCTTTTTAAACATTCGTGTTTGTTTTTAATATGAACATGGTAAAATTGAATTTAAGAATTATTCTAAAGCGAATTATTTGATTTAACAATAATATATTTTAATTTTTTTTAAACAATTATTTATGTAGGTTTTTAGGTTTAGGATTCTCTTTAAGTTTCATCTAGAGTCTAGGACAAGGGTTATTGCTAACCTGCGACAAACGTGTTTTTTTCGGCTTATTAAATATTATTGAATGACTCATTAGCGTATAAGTTAGGTTAGT